TTCTACTTTTAAATACTCTAGGAACAACAAGTAGGCCTGCAGAGCGAGAGCGAAGTGCTCTAATAGGGTGATATGGTACTACAAGGTCATTAAGAGAAGATGGGGCCTGATTATTTAAGAGCTTGTATCTTTAAATCAGATGTTTATAGCAGCCGTCCTTTATGTAAACTATTGTTCATGAGCTCATAAACGCAGGACTACGTCTTGATTTTTTTAAGTATATTTAAATTGATAGATATGTGTTGAAGTTCTGTGTGTTGGGTCTGCACTCACTCAGCTGGGCTCTTGTTGACTGCTAGCATGCTGTCTGTGCAGGTTTGTTTAACTTGTTCAGTCCTTGGTCAAGTACAGGAAGGAAGAAGGAAAATGAATAAACAGAAAGAAGAATAGCAACACCCATCTGATCATTAAGTGCTTGTGCCACAAATTTGGATGGTTTCCTTTGGGTTCCTCTGAGTTTTACTGCCACCTGAGCTCAGCTAAATATTTGACAACAGCTTTGAATGAACTGCAAGTGGAACTTCTGTATGTTTTTTCTGTTTTAGTCAGACTGAAAAGCATTGATGAATAAGAGACATGTGACTTTTATGTAATTACCCAGGAAACTTAAAAACAGCCTAATTGTGAAAGAAATCCTTTGAAGATGGATTTAAACGAGAGTGACAGTGGAGGAGCCAGCAGCGCTCTGCTGGCCTGAGTAAAGATGTTACCTTTGCTGTTTGCTTTTCCAGGTTTTGTGGGGAGTGTCTGCAGCCCTGTCTCCAGGTGACCTCACCTCTCTGCCCCCTCTGTCGCGTGCCCTTCGACCCCAAGAAGGTGGAGCGGTCTTCCAGTGTGGAGAAGCAGCTGGCTTCATATAAAGCACCCTGCAGGGGTTGTAACAAGAAGGTAGATAATGACTGCTCTAGCAGATAACAGACCCCCACAGTGTTATAAAAATATTATTTGTTGCACAATTCACACTGTGAATGTAAATCTTTTCTTTTTTATTTATAGTCTTTGGCCATTTGTGCAAATTCAACTGTGAAACTGAAAAAGGAAATAAACGTGTCAAAAGTGATAATGGGTGAAATGAAAGTCACTATAAAAATGGACGACAGTCTGAGAATCAGAGTAAGATGAATAGAAGTGAAGAGCAGACTAAACGCCCCCCCTCCACGCAGTGTCACTGTGACTCTTTACATACATGTACAGTCATAACCCCAGGTGTGTGCGTGCTTTCAGGTGGCTCTAGTAAAGATGAGGTCCCACATTGCTTCCTGTTCCAAGGTGCAGGAGCAGATGGCCAACTGTCCCAAGTTTGTTCCTGTGGTGCCCACCTCCCAGCCTATACCAAGGTACCCACACTGCAACCATGTTCATGCAGCACAGCTGATACATGATACTTTAATCACCTCACCTGAATGCAGCCGTTCACACCATCATTTCACTGGATGGATTTAAGGCACTTCTTAGAACCAAGCTCGATATTTTGGATTTTTTAGATCCAAAGAAACCAGTGTGACCAATCAGACCCTGCATTTGGCAGCAAGCACAGTCATACTGCACACTGGTAGTGTAAATAGCAGTGTGCACTAATGCTGTGTTATCTGAGACACTCAGCTAGCTGCTGCTCTGGGTCAGTCAGCTCTCAGTGCCCCACTAACATCCTGAATCGTGGCCACGATTCAGCTTCCACTGCTCGGCCGAGACGTCCTCCCTGCTGCTGCCTGCGTGTGTCAGCTGGAAGGACTCTCAGTTCAGTCCTGTATCAGCGTTATCATCCACTTCATTCTCTTCACAGTGCAGTTTTACACTTCACTACATCACACAGCAA